ACAACAGAAACATACATCGGACACACGGAAGACGACTTCAAAACAAGATACCGAAACCATACCGCATCATTCCGCCACTCTAAACACAGAAACTCAACTGGACTAAGCAAGTACATCTGGACTCTCAAAGACAACAACATTGAATACTGTATTTCATGGAGCATCCTGTCTTCGCATTCACCATACAACAGCTCGAGCAAAAAATGCAACCTCTGCCTAAAGGAAAAATTTCTGATGCTTTACCGACCGAAACTTTCTACACTCAACAAACGTAATGAACTCGTGTCTTCTTGCCGCCATAGCAAAATATTTTGTATATAAGAAGCGATGGTAAAGTATATTCTTATTAAATCACCACGAAATAGGCTTTTCGGGATGAAAGCATAGTTTATTTGTTTCTTTCCTTCACAGACATATATACATATGACGATTTCTAACCGTTCTTGTCTTGAATTTTAAACATTCATAACCGTTTACTTCTCATAGACAACTCTCAGTCTGATAATCGCCTCGAGCGTGAAACTCGAGTAACTAGTAATAATTTCCTTCTTTCACATTTGTATATATATATATATGCCCCTGATGAGTGGGCAACCAGGAAACAAGTCTGTAGGGATGAAATGTAGTTGGTTGATCTTTTCTGCATATCACACGTTATACTCGCTCTACTATATGTATCGAGCACTGTTTTACGGATACCAAGTTTAACCCTTCTATATATGATAATAATAATAATAATAATAATAATAATAATAGTAATAACGGTCTATTCACAGTATATCCACATAAAAGGTGTGGCTCTTCATACCAACATTTCATATTAAAACTAAACTATAATGACTAACTAAATTGTAATAAAAAGTATACATGAAAGTAAATATGTAGAATATATTGGTTGGTGGTGGTGGTTGTTTCTACATCTTTACAAGGAAGACGAAGCGCGCGCTTTTAAGAACGCCTTGCAGAGCTTGCAGTATTATTTAAAATCTGTGCAATTCCTTATATTTGCTGGCAATTCGTTAAAAATCATGGCTGCTGAATGCTGAAAGGTGCCTTGTACAAATGGAACATAAGGCCTTGGAGCAACACTGGAACGGAGATGCCTAATGGGTTTAATGAACTTGCAAATTGAAATGGGAGGGGCCAGTTATCAGAATACAGTGCTTTTAAAATTATATCTTTGGATATATATATATATATACACATATAGAGAGTTTCTATATTAATGTTGTTTTGTAATTCGATATTTCATCTATTTTTAAATTTTTTTTTGGGGGGGGCGCGCACTCAATTTGGAGCCTCGCTCTGTTGTGTCGTTCTTCACCCCCCCCCCTTTGTTATCATCATTATTATCTTATCATATTATTTCATTATATGAGCCATTTGTGGAGATGAGAAAAGAATGGCCTTCGTTTTCTTAGAATTCAGGGCTAGGTTTGAATCATTTGACCAGGCGCC